TCAATCAATGAACAGCAATCCTTTATGAGTGTTCCTGTTCATTGATAACATGAGAACATTGTTTGTTTACTATAACTACAATTATGAATGAATGGGGGTGATGTAGATCACTCCCATTCATAATTGAAGATAGAGTTAACATACCATGTCCTCAATTATGTACACACACTCAGCGATCACTGATCGCTGAGTGTGTGTACCTTGCTTTTCTCTCTGACACGCTGTCAATGGAGGCTGATCGAGCGGTGTAGATAGGAGAGCCCAGCCTCCTGCGACAGTGATGTCTCCGCCCCCACACCACTCTGCCGGACTGTGATGGGCGAGCGGTGTGGGAGGAGAGACGCCGGCCGCTCACAGTGCTCTCGTCCTGCTGCGCTTGGCCGGCTGTCACTTTCTTTTCTTCCCGCTGGAACAAAGAGCAGCGCCCAGCGGGGAGAAAAGAAACCAGGGATGCGCCGATGTATGCCAAAAGTGCAATTTTTAGCCGATATGTTTCGGCGGCCGATATATCGGTGCATCCCTAGTTCCTTCTACCATCAATCAACCCTTTTGGCGGAGAGGAGCGGTGCGTGGCCTGCCGCAGGGCTGTGTGTCTCTGGACACACACAGCTACTGCGGGCATGGCCGGGAACAAGCGCACACGAGTACCTCCACAGCAGCCGCTTAGCTGATGTAGGCACCGGGGTGGGGGGATAGTGATGTGGGGACCCAGTAGGAATTTAAACATTTTTAAACAAATAACAGAGCTACATTTAATCTGTGCCTCCCTTCTATACAAAAACAATCGCAAGGTTTGATGTCACTTTAAGGTACTTGAATGCATTTTTAAAGGAGAATTATGGGGTGAGTGAAAAACATTAATCCCCATAATTCAAGCCGACCTGTGAGAAAGAAGCTGTCACAGGTCAGCTCTATTGATCGGGAAGTCAGCAAAAAAAACACACACCGCCGATTTACTGATTTCCCGACATTCTCCCTGCAGAGAGTGGTAACTGTCAGTCACCGATCCACGCAGGGATTCCCCCCTCCCCCCTCCATTTCTCCAGCAATAACCTTCTATAGAGGCAGAGCTATCTGACAGTATTGTCGGGATCTGTCCCGGCTGCGGTGCGGCTCTGTGCTCTCAGCATGTCCGCTATATACTGAGTTTTGGGTCATCGGAGGACATAAGTATATGTCCTCCAGTGACCCTGAATAGAACTAGGGCTAAAACGGGTTAGGCCATAGTTCTCCTTTTAAGGTTCAACTTCTTAGTTTAGTGTCACTTTAAAGCAGGGGTCTCAAAGTACCGGCCCGCGAGCCGGTACTATGTGGCCAGCTGACAAGTCGGGCACACAGTCATGGACCGCGTGCCCGACTTGCGGGAGCAGCTACATGGTCTGCATCTCTATTGGATGCAGCCCGCAGAGCTGCTCCTGCCGGAGCTCTGTCAGTTCTGAGCTTCGGCCGAATGATGGATGATTAGTAAGGTCTGCACTAGACCTTCCTAATCACCACTAGAGCACCAGGGAATGAAGATGCGTCTCCTCCCTGCACAGATGCAAGCAGGTGATGCAATTATGTGTTCTGGGGGCTGGGGGGGAGGGGGGAAGTATATTATTATATGTGCTGGGGGGGCAGTGTATTAAATGTGTGATGGGG